CTGATTTGAACCAATCTAGTTTGGTCTGGTTTGGTAATGTTTGGTCTCTTTGTCTTTTTATAACTATCCAAGTCCGGTCTGGTCTGATCTGGTCTAGTCTGATCTGGCCTGGGGACTGAAAACAGTCCAAGTAAAAACATCCTTACTTTATGAATACAATATCAAACGCATAAATTCAGTTTTCTTAATAATTATTAACCGAACCAGCTCCTCATTTCTCATTGTTAGTGGGGCGGAGATAGTACTACATATTATATTGATCAAGTATATATATTGGCCTTGACCCCGAGCGTAGCGTGTGATGCAAGTTGAGCCTTGACAAATGGAAGACCATGTTCAAAATAAAATCGGAAGCCCTTTTATTTAACACAAAAATGCTAATAATAAAATAACATAAAAATTGACAGTGTAATACTCACCCAGTCCCATTTTATAAAATATATTTCCTATTTACTTGATCAACACAAATTACTCTTAATCTCTTATTTTATATATCAAAATTTGATGAAATTTGAATTATATTTTGCAAGTTTTGTAGCGGTTTTAATGTAGTTTCTGAAAATGTAAAAATTTATTTTCTAAAACTAGTTTGAGTGTTTACAGAAATCAATTTGCTTTATTGTCGGTCAAACATCGTAAACCGTAAAGTGCCTTATAATTTGGGACGGAAGGAACATCAATTTTTATCACAATACTTCCTATTAAATTGCTGAACTTGGGGTTTCATCCTTAAAAGTCAACCTGATAGGAGGAGTTGCTCAAAGTCTTATATAGCGTTTTATTGTTTTCTAGTTTTCCGGTGTGAGACAAATACTTAACATGCCCCCTCAGCCCGAACAGGACTAGACAGTATCAAGGTGTATAGTGTGACAAATAGATCCTTAACAAGCTAAGCTATATTAAATCATGGGTGCTAAACAAGCAGTCAAACCACAACCAAATTTGACTCTGATACCGGAGTTCCATCCTAAAAGGTCAACCTCTACTCCAACAACCACCACCACCATCATCATCAAGAAGAAGATGACAATAGAAGAACCATCTTAGACGAAATGGACTTCTTTTCCTACCAACAAGATTCCGATTAAGCAGCCGCAGCTACCACCCAAGACCCATCGCTGACGAAGGCGTTAAAGATTCCCCCATTAACACTAGATTGCATCTTCTCACCACAAACACAAAAAGTGATGAGTGGATAGTTGAAGACGATTATTCGCTTAATTCTGAAGACAAAAGAGCTAAAAGCTAGTTGGTTGTTGTACAAGCTGAACTAAAAAAGAGTGACACAGAAAACCTACGTTTACGGGACGCGTTGAATAAGGTCATGAATGATTACACTTCACTATAGATTTCATATGATGACTTTAATGCAACCAAAAGAAATAAATGTAGGGAAAGTAGTGGCAGGGGACGTGAATAAGGAGACCCGCCGTGCCTCGTTATCTTTGTCTGACGGGTGGAGCGACAGGCGCAGCCAAGACCACCATGAGGAAAGCACGTGTCTCTGATAAAGCTCGACTTGTGGCTCCCATGATCACCAATGGTTGACAATGGAGAACATATGGACATAAAATGGCAAAGGGAAACCCGTGTCCTCGAGCTCATTACCGGTGCACCATGGTCGTCGGATGTCCAGTTCGGAAGCAAGTTCAAAAATGTGCAAAGGATAAAACAATCTTGAGGTACTCCTCCTATCAGGTTGACCTTTAAGAATAGAACCTCGGGTCTTAACATGATATCAGAGCCAAGTCCGCTGTGGTTTGACTGCTTTTTTAGCACTCATGATTAAGGTTAGCTTGTTAAGAGTCTGTTTGACCCATTTATACACCATGATATTGCCTAGTCCGATCCGAGCTTAGGAGCGTGTTAAAGTATTTGTCTCACACTGGAAAGCTATAAAGCAATAAAACACTATATAAGGCTTTAGGTTATTCCTCTTATCAGAATGAGATTTTGGTGTTAAGACTTGCGGTTCCATCCTAAAAGATCAACATGATAGGTGGAGTAGCCCAAAAGCTTATAAAGTAGTGTTTTATTATTTTATAGTTTTCTGGTGTGGGACAAATATTTAACACAGATGAAATTGCATGTACATATTCAAGTAATTGCCAATAGCATCAAAATCACATCCAATATTTTGAATTTTGATTGCGCTTATTTAAATAATGTTATCCTTCTAAGATTTTTTAAAATAAAGTCTTCGATAATGTTTTCATATGCAATTTTCAATTCTCCAATAGATCGCTCACAGTTGCAACTAAAGCTAATCCATTAAGTGTATCTTGTGTCATTGTAAAGCGCATGTAAGACTTTAGCACTAGTCAAATTTGAAAAGTTTCGTTATGCAATTGCAACAGTAACAAAAATGGTCAACAAAATTCTATGTGCAATAACTACGTTAGGGAAGCAATCAAGACGTTTTAAGATTTTCAAGATATCAATACACCCATAGTCTCAATCCATTTGGGAAAAAATTATGAAGTGACTTTAATTTAACATATAATTCATTTCCATCAATCTGATTATTCATCCTTATTAAGTGATGTTTCAAGACAGCTGCAACATGATTTTAAACTACTATTATGATTTTATTTAATGAGCGCCACTCTTTAAAAGTAAATACAAATCTAAATATATTCTCATATTGTTGATATTGTTCAAATCTTGTGGTGAGTGATGTTTTTGCTTGATCAATGATGGATAACAAATAATTAAATCTAAACGATTCATGTGCAGATTGGGAAATAACATTATAACACACATTATCCCAATTCTCATCAAATTGCCTTTGTGTTCTTATATAACATTCTTTAGAAAATGTTGCATAAATGTTCAATTTAATACAAGTGTTTGATGCAATTTCTAAGGCCGCGCTTGAGAAGCCAGTTTCCTATAACTTTCAAATTACGAAGGGGCTTTTCAAAATATTACTTAAATGAAATTTGTCTACATAAATATGACTAATAGTTACTATAATGTAGTGTTATGGTAACATAAGTTTAAATGAACATAAATTACTATGATTTTATTACTACTCTAGTCATTATTCAAAACTACTTTAAACTTTGGAAGGGTGTGAGATGAACACCTCAAACTTGCACATGTATTTTAAATACCCCAAACTTTATATAAAAAGTTATTTTGACACCATAGTCAAATATTACTTATTTCAAAATGTAAGGTTATGGTGTTTATTTCACACCTTCCATTGCAAAATAAATAATGTTACCCGAAATCTATATAATTGCAACACTTTTAATTTGTTATTTTATATTATGCGGTTAACCCCATAAATTTACATATTTGAAAGAAATCATACATGACAATGGTGTGAAAATAATTTTTTATATAAACTTTGGGGTATTTAAATTACATACGCAAGTTTGGGGTGTTTACTTCACACCCCATTAAAGTTTGTAGTATTTTATTATTTTTCCCTAATATTAATAATGATAATAATAATATTCAAACTTGACGTTTATATAAAATCATTAAACTCTCTATCTAAATCAATAATATTATCAATTCCAAAATCCCCCCTCCAATTGTCAGCATTCAGAATCGTTTCATCTTTTATAGCTAAATCATTCTTCTTCCCTAAGTTATCAATCAATAAACTAATCTACTTCCAAGTGGAATTGTTTTATAAAATTTGGTGAGCATGTCTTCCTCAAGAGTATATTATGGCCTAAATATACATAAAAACGTAGCATTTTCCAATAATTTATTTAGCTGACTTATAGGTTGAATTTTAAACTGAATTTTTTGTGTATATAATCTAGACTTCATACAGAACATACGCATAAAAGTTTATCAAAAAATTCCACTCTAAATGACCTCAAACAATTTCACCCAAAAAATACTAGTTTAGGGCTGAAAAACCAATCTACTCACACCTATTATAAAGAATTAAATTTGGGATAAGTTATTTTCTTTTTTTTGGCGTATGACCTACGCCGCCCTTGAACGTGAGTTAAATTTCCTTATATGTGAGTTACATCACTCTGTTATTGGGACAAAAATGACATGAGAGATTTGACTTTGCACTCCACTTTTTGGGTGATATCTGACTTTGCATCCCATTTTCAAAAAACTTTGATTTCGCACCTCATTCCACTTAAAATTTCTTTGACTTTGAACCCCATTTAGAAAATTTTCTTAACAAATGTTGTGTGTTGAGGTGAAAAATCAAAGTTTTTTGAAAATTAGGTGCAAAGTCTAATATCACCCAAAAAGTGGGATGCAAAGTCAAATTCCCCCCAAAAAATATTATTAACGTGTGTTTTAGTCGGTGGGAGCACCATGCTCAAAATAGGATCACGATATAACAATTGCTTTAAAACTTACTGATTACTACGTAAAATTTTTCACAACCATGCTAGGAGTACACAAGTTGTTCACAACTTGTACACAAAATGTCGGTCACAGACAAGAGTTGTCTGTGTATACGAACAACTTTTGTCTGTGTCCACAGACATTTACTTTTTTGTAAAAAGTACTCTGACAACCGTCTGACATCAACTTGCAAATCAATCAATATATGTGTAGTGCCTGTGTACACATACAATATTTTCATGTTGCATAAACAATTATTTGTCTGTGTGCACAGACAAATTTTACCACACAGGCAATAGTTAACAAAAAAAAATGGTGTGTATACTTAGGAGAGACGTATACTAAAATGAAAGAGTAGTTAACAAAAAAGTCAAACACAATTATAACGTTACTCGGGTTTTGACTCGGTTCAAACCCATCCCAGGAGAGGATTAATAATTAATTATTTACGTGAAGTATAAGTTCTAACGACCAACGAATCAAGCATCACCCGAAATTATGAAACGAGTGAATTGAATCTTAGACCGTCCAGTCCACGCGGGTAACTAGGTCCGCCGCGGACGGTGTCCTACCCCACCCTCAAGTCTCATCACAGGCGGCGCTCTTCTCTCTCCCCTGTCCTGAAACCTCCTATAAATACCGTCCTCGCCAGAAACCCAAAACTCAAACAAACTCTGTAATCAACTTCACCTTTCTTCTTCGCATTCATAAATCAAAACCCCATTTTCTTATCCATTAAGATCATCAAATCCGCCTTCACAGACCAGCCATGGTGGCCTTCTCAAAGCCAGCAGCCGAGCAAAAGTTCGCCGCCGTCAAGACCGGAAATGCACCCACTCTGCTTTTCCCTGTCATTGACCTCTCCAAGCCCGACTCCAAACACCTCCTGGTGAAAGCCTGCGAGGAGTTCGGATTCTTTAAGGTCATCAACCATGGGATTCCCACTGAATTCACCGCCAAGCTCGAATCAGAGGCCCTCAAGTTCTTCTCCTCTCCCCTGTCGGAGAAGCTGAAAGTGGGTCCCCCGAACCCATTCGGATATGGCAACAAGAACGTCGGAACCTGCGGCGATGTCGGCTGGGTCGAATACATTCTCTTGTCTCCCCATCACTCGGAAGCTGATTTCCAGAAGTTCTCCTCCATCACCGGCCTCTCCCCGGAAAAGCTCAGGTAATTAAGATTCTGGATATATATAAAAAAACAGAGATTTATGTCATTTTGACAAAAGTTAATCCTGGCCAATTTTGGGATTTGATTTAACAGAAGTGCTGTGAATGAATATGCGGGGGCGGTGAAGAGAATGGCGTGTGAGATTCTGGAACTTTTAGCGGATGGATTGATGATCAAGGAGAGGAATGCTTTCAGCAAGATGATAATGGATGAAGAGAGCGACTCTGTTTTCCGGCTGAACCACTACCCGCCGTGCCCGGAGGTGGGGCAGAACCAGATTGGGTTCGGCGAGCACACCGACCCGCAGATCATCTCCGTCCTGAGATCGAACAACACTTCCGGGCTGCAAATCGCGCTCCGGGACGGCAGCTGGGTGTCTGTCCCACCGGACCAACATTCCTTCTTCGTCAACGTCGGAGATTCTCTCCAGGTAAGAAAAGTTATTAGATTCTACGGAGGATTAGTCTTTATTATGCGCCGTATCACCTAAATGAGTTAAAATTGACTTCCTTGATTTACGAGCTGTCAGACTTTTAGTAGTCTTTATTTGGGGAGAAGTCTTATCACCCAATTACACACAAATTTACACACAATTACTTTTAAAGATATAAAATCAGAGACTCTAAACTAGAATATGATAAAATTGTGATATGTTAATTAGGTAAATCTATTGAAATCTAAAAAAATCCAAAAACTATTTTAAATAAAACAAATGGAATATCATATGAAAAAAAGTTAAAATATTCTTTTTCAGGAAATGCAATTAGGAAAGAAGTTTTAACTTAGTTATTTTGAGTAATAGACAATTCAGTATCTAAAATCAAAATGCACATATTCAATCAAAACTTGACTAATAAGACTGATAAGTCGAAAAACAAGATTATTAAAACAGTTTTGTTTAGCTGTTTGGAATGTGTCACATATGATGATTTTCAGTGTTACAAAAATGTGCTATAAATTTACAATGTAACAAAGTGAACATTTTTTATACAAATCATGTATATGCATCTACTACCATTAGACACATTATGTCACATAAATGTAGCAAATACTCCCTTCCTCCCGTAATTAAGTTCATACTTTCCTTTTTGGGATGATCCATATTAAAGTTTCTACTTCAAACCTTTCTTTATTTGACAAATGATTTACACCAAAACAGTGTCAAATAGTGTTCAAACAATGCACTCCACAGTAAAATCAAATTCATTTTCTTAATATGTGTGAAGTCAAACCAGGGACTTAATTAAGAACGGGAGGGAGTACCTGTCGCTGCCTCATGGATCTAAAACTTACTCCCACGTACATTTAAATGAGTTAGACATGTGGTCATACCTCATAATGGGCATAGAGTGACACCTAATTAAAAACACTGTATTGGCCGTGAAGGCTGGTGGTCTCAGCCTCCTAGTGGTTGTGTCACATCTGCTAGGCTAGCTAAACACTGTTGTTGAATCCAACAATTCATAATCCTGAATCAGACCCCATATTAGTTGTTAATTAACACGTTTTATGGATGTTTTATGGTCTGGTGACTCTGGTCTATTCTATATGAATTTTAAAACTACGAAGTCGGGTCTGAGATTGAAACAATTCTAATTGTGAGTTACTCTGCAGGTTTTGACAAACGGGCGATTGAAGAGCGTGAGACACCGGGTACTATCGAACACGAACAAGTCGAGGCTGTCGATGATATACTTCGGAGGACCGCCATTGAAGGAGAAGATAGTCCCATTGCCGTCATTAATGGAAGCAGAGCAGGATAGTTTGTACAAAGAGTTTACATGGTTAGAGTACAAGACGTCAGCGTTCAGCTCTAGGCTGGCTGTGAACAGGCTGGTCGGGTTCCAGAAAATTGCAGCTTCATAATCAGCAGTGTAAAATCACTTTGATTTTTTGTGCACATTTTTGCTGTATTGGTGTATCCTGTAAATCAGTCAGTCCCACTGTGTTAGTCCGTATCAGGAAACGTGGGTTGTCAACGTACTTAGATTCTCGATTTCGTACGTGTACTATATGGAAATGGAAATGATGAAATTTTTATTTTTCATTCCATTCTACGCTTGGCAAATTTCATTTCATCACGCGGTGAAAAGTGCCATATTTGGGAATGTGTGGGAATATCAAAGATTCAAAGTTGGAACATAGTGACGCACTCGAGATTCAAGATGGCACATTATCACCTACCTTCTCCACTTCTATTCATTCTAATACGACTACTCGAGTAGTACATTTCAACAACAAATGTTGGTTTACAAAATTTATACGTAATCGTTTGTGTGTTGTGTATACAGACATTGCTCTAATAGTTTATCTAATTTAGGACTCTTTGTATTTTGGTAACTCATAAATAAAATATACTCCCTCCGTTCTTTAATATTAGTCTTCTTAGGCTTTGGCACGAGTTTTAAGAGTAAAGTAGTAGGGGTAGTGTAAAATGTGTAATGAGTAATGGGTAAATGAAAAAGTAGGAAAGAAAAAGGGGTAATGATAATAAAAGTTGGGGTATAAAGGTATATTTAGAGTAAAAACTTTTCTTAAATGGAAAGGATGACAGATAAAAAAAAAAGTCCCAAAAAGGAAAGAAGGACTAATAAAAAAGAACGGATGGAGTATCTCTTAGACTTCTTGTTGAAGCATCATTTCTCATTATTTCACATTGCATCAAGAACTCAGATCTATAAAAAAATTGGCTCTCTCTCTCTTCGTTAATGTGGCCTCAATGAGTTCTCCCCCCATGAACTCGCCTGCAGCCATGACTTCCTCTGCCATGAGCTCCGTAATGTCGATTTCCAGCTCAGGTCTCGGAGATTACACCCATAAAGGATATCAATTTCACCACTAGAGTCACAAAGGGAAGAATTGGGAAACAACCTACAAGCTATTCGGCCAACTCCATTAGAGCTCTACCAAGGGGAAGCGGAGTTCAGAAATAGGGTGAGAATAGGGTTTCGGCCAGCGCCCAGCGAGCACCATCGGCAGAGAAGGAAAATTAAATAAGCCAGACTCAATCGTAAAGATGGTAAGTCTTACCATAAAAGAAGATACGCGGTTATTCAAACAAGGCGGAAGAAATTTCACGCTCAGGAGACGTTGCGAAAGAGAAGAAAAAACATGGGCCACGTAAGAGCCATGGGGATTTGGACTTATGAAATGAACTGGGCCAATACCAACGCATTCTCCACCTTATTGGACCTAGTGGTGTAGAGTTAAAACTCTAATACAATTTTGAGACTCATCTTTGCTGGATTGCCTGAATGATAACAGAGACACATTCAGGCAAAAGGGGAAAGATCACCAAGCAATTTATACGCAATCAAAGTTTAACGTGCTTTTGCACGACAACAATTTTTCAACAGAGAGACATTTAGTCCCCATGTCTGCAGGATTAAACTCGGATGGAGTTTTAATTAACTTGATATGGCCTGCACTAAAAATATCACGTATAAAATGAAATCTAACGTCAATATGCTTAGTTCTATCATGAAAAACAGGGTTTTTGCACAGTTGAATAGGAGATTGACGGTCAGAAAACACACAAATGTCCTGTTTAAGACTACCAATCTCCGTTAGGAGACTCTTGAGCCAAATGGCTTCCTAAAACGCTTCGGTAGCGGCCACATACTCAGACTCAGTGGTGGACAGAGCTATTATGGGTTGAAGTTGAGACTTCCAACTAATGCAAGACCCGCAAAGAGTAAACACATAAGAGGTAGTGGATTTCCTATTGTCTCTATCGTTAGCAAAAGTAAAGTCAACATAACCACTCAACTTACTACCCTCATAACATCTAGTGAAAACCAACTCATGATTACTCGAGGGAGGGTCTGGGGGAGGGGGCCTGGAGTAATGAAACTTACTCCATTGAGTTTCAACCCTTATGTGCCTAGCGGGTTTCAAACTCAAAACCTCCCACTAAGCACGGTAACCTCACAACCAGCTGGGCTAGAATGCTTGATTATATATATATATATTTGTATAAATAAAATTATTCAATTCTCCTTCTGTATCACTTTAGTTGTCTTGTTTGCCTTTTCACGTAGTTTAAGAAAATTAATGTAGACTTTATGAAAAGTATGAGATTTTTTGTACTGTAGTTGTATTGTAGCTTTTTTTTTGAGTGATTTTCATTCCAAAAAAAAAAAAGAAATGAGACAATTAACTTGATACGTCCTAAAAAGGAAATTAGGACAACTAAAGTGATATGCAGGGAATACTTTTTAAGATCATATTAATAGCTCATTTGGTGACCTTGCTTTTTGGCTTATCAGCCTCATCTATCATTTTTTTTTTCATTAAACACTTAATTTTTGATTCCATGTGTTGATTTGTATTATAATTAAAATAAGTTAAGTTGGAGTTATTTTTCTGCCTGAAGTTACTGTAGAGTATTTTTTTAACTATTTTTACAATAATTCAACAAATTCAGCCAATTCAACCACATCAGCAAAATTTGAGCAATTTTAGCAAAATCAATCGATCCAACGAGCTCTAATTCATAAATAATCCTATCATACTTCATTCTCCTAGTATCATTGTTTTTTTTTCTCCTAGTATCATTGTTTTATCTTCTTTTTTCACTTTTGGATTTGCTCTTCGGCGTTGATTTCATAGAATTCAAAAATGATCGATCTACTTTTTAAAATTCTATCGAGAGGAGCTACACAAGAATGTCTAAGTTCTACTCGGAATAAATAAGTCAGAAATTATGGCTGACCAAATTCTAGAAAATGGTTGTGTTTCTTGGATGTTTTTATGGGTGACCAAATTCTCAACGATCTCCACCTCAATTGCCTTCGAATTGCCACCCATAATACCATACCAACCTTGCTTTTGAAAAACCTTTGCTCACTCTATGGAATTTCTGTGTTTCCACTTCAGTCTTGAACTATATATCGTCTTTGTCATGAACGAAACAGAACACATGAAGTTACATTGTTTAAAAATACTACAAACTGTCAATTTAATGAAACTTACGTTCACATTATCAATATTTTATGTTATTTTGACAATTTAACTCAAAAACTAATTTGCAATAATTATAAGTTGACTAAATGATTGTTTATTCCATATAATAAAATTAATAGATCGAAAACTTCTAATTCGTTTTCGAGAATGAAGTCCTAACATTCGTAAAGTATAAAGTGCATATAGATCTTATATAATTATTATACTCCATAGTTGAGATGGAATACACATCACAATACTAACTTTGCGGATTCGAATCCCGGATCATGCGATTACAATCTTTAATTTCCCACCACAGCTAGAGTATATAATGATTTTAACACATTATTCAGTCTATTCAAGACAAATCTAGATGTAGTGATACGCTCATATATTTATTTCTATAAAGGATGTCACTTGTGCAAATCCTGCACTGTAAAGGCATTGTATCTTTTTACAACTTACGGAGTACGTAGTACAGTATTTCATACAGGAAACTTCTTGAAGTATTTTTAATTATTTTAAGTTCGAGCAGTCTCAAACTAGTTATACAATATTTAAAAAATCATGACACGTGCATAAGTGCATTATAATATACGAAGTATTATTTGACCTTAAATTAAAATGAGCCAAAGACTTAGGGTCTGTTTGCAACAGCTTTTGCTTTTAAAAAAATGCTTTTTTAATGAAATGGGGAGAAGTGATTAAATAAAAGTTGATAGTGTTTGAGAAAATAGTGATTTTGAAAAGTAAAAGTGGGTAATGTTTGGTAAAATAAGTGTTTTTTGTATAATAGAAAAAGTAAAAACACTTTTTCTGCGGAAGCCGATATAAATAAAAGTTGTAGTGTTTAGGAAAATAAGTATTTTTTTAAAGCCAAAAGATGAGAAGTGCTTTTTTAAAAGCAGTTGCAAACTAACCCTTATACGATTCTACGTATGGAGTACGGAGTACTATATATTTATAGTTCGAACTTTTTTTGTTGAAAATATATACTCCTTTCGTACCAATTTGATGGTCTCATATCGTACAAATTTTAATAAAGTAGTTGAAATTTGAGTAGAAAAAGTGAAATAATGTGGACCACATCTTTATTTCCAAAAGGGAAAACATGACCATCATTTTGGGACATCCCAAAAAAGAAATACGGGACCATCATTTTGGGACGGGGGAATACTACAGAGTACGTAGTATAATAATATATTGTATAAAATTTATATTTCACATAAGAATATTAAAACAATGGGGATCAGAAATGTGAAAATATATCTTTCAAATATATATGAAGATGCACACATACCCTTAACTTCTAAAATATGCAAAATATCCTTCAAATTCCTATAAAGAAGCAAATTTACTCATATTGACTGTGAATAAATAAAATAAATTTTAAAAACATCAAAAATAAATTATAATTTTAAAATTCAAAATTGAAGGAAAAAATATACTTGTATCCAATCCTCCTTTTATTATTTTTATATCACAATTTAATACTGTTAGTGTAAAAAATGTTTCAATACTTTACTATATTTTTATGATTCTTTCAGAAAAGTGTTAACATATGTGTTGCAATGTAACGAAATCGTTAAGTTTTTTATATTATTTGCACTATAAAACTACATACGTAATATTTTGTATGATACTCCGTAATAAATTAAATAGTCCAGAATTACAAAATAGTGGGTTTAATTTTATTGAGTTTAAACAAAAAATCAAAGAATGTTACTCAGTATTTCAATAAATGTAACAATGTGTTCCAAATCTCCCAAAGACAAATTAATCTGTACCAATTTGAAGTAGTGCTTCATTTACAAGCTACTCCCTCCATATATATTTAGTCATCCCAGTTTCCTTTTTGACACGTATCAAATTAATTGTCACATTTTCTTTTTTGGAAATAACTCACTCAAAAAATAGCTACAGTATCTAAAATACCAAAATCTTTTACTTTTCATAAAATCTATAACAATGGAAACTGCGCAAAAAAAAAAATCAAATGGGTCAAATTATTAGATACGGGGGAGTATATATCAATAGAACTTGCTGAGTTGTTGCTAAAGTAGCTCTTTGTGGTTGGGCCTTGGGGCTACATCCACGAATCGTCCAAGCCATGAGCAGGCCCGGTCCTGAGATTTTATGGGCCCTAGGCAGTATAAATAGAGTAGGCCTTAGAAATAACGTGTGAATGTTTATACATTTCGTAAAAACCAAGTAAAATTAAGTAATTTTGCTATCTAAATACAAGTATAACACATCAAAGAAATTAATAAATGAGACGGTTAGAAAATTTATATTTAAATATTTGATAAGTGACATTTGAGAATACTATGTACCTAAATCGGTCAAATGGAAAAGTAGTACAGTTATTACTTGCTATAAAGAATTTTTAATTTGGGAAATATGTGAAAGTTATATCTCATA